GAGCTGCCTAACCTTAAATAACTCTCTCATGGATGTCCAGATTTAATGCCCTTTTTTCACATTTGTTCATCTAGATTATGAAAGTCCGCCCATCCCAGTGGTAACTCTTCATGTGTACTTGAAAGAAATTGGTGTCTATATCTTTCAGCTGAGTAATTTTTCTTCTCTCAAAATGAACCACCTGTAAACAGAGGGGTATGGAAATGACCCATAATTTTCATTACTGGTTTCAAACTAATAGACCTAAACTATCCAAGCCATTTCAAAAACACCCTCTGCCATCACCTTCACAAATAATATTAATGAAATGCAGTATTACTGAGAAGGACCAACATTAACAATTTAAGTTAAATCTTGTGCAAATGGCCAGTTCTCCAATCTTGAGAGAAGCTGATCCCTGGATGTAAACTGATGCATTTTCAAAGGCCTAATCTGAACTGTGGAAGAAAAGAAAATATTCCAGCTATAGGGGACAAAAATAAACTATTTTCACATCTGCTTTATTTTCAGTATATAACCTCTTAAACTGCAATTGACATCCTTGCTGTCCCTAAACTCACAGGCTTAAAAAGTAATAGTTTACAGATAAGATTTCCTAGCAGCATTTCACCATTCCAGGTTAGTTACTACTTACTTGTCTCTCAGGTAATTATGTCCTATTTGTCCAGAAATGTCTTCTATAGCAGAAAGAATGTGATCAAAGGCCTAGGAGAGTGAAAGTGGTATTAATATCTTTACAGAAATAAAAGATATAATTAGAAAACATCTCCATTTATGCCAGATTAGATGAGATGACTACACAGAATAATATTGTTACTGCTAAACAGATTTTTTTTCCCCCATTTACAGAAATACTAACTACTATACGCTTTTCTTCAAAGGTCCTGAGTTTTTTAACTAGTTCTTTACAAATTCACTAACTATTCTTGAATTATGAGGGTCTCAGCAAGAAGGTATTAAGCCCCCATTTTAACATCTAATTTTAAGACTCTTTTTATTGACTCATTTTACTATCTCCATTTCTACCCTATGAAGTACATCAGCCACTATTAGTGTCAATGATTAGATCAGTCGAAAAATTTCCATACTGTTTCTGTTTAGATGTTTTAGGAACCCATACTTCTCTCAGAGTGGAAGTAGGCACCATTCTTTTGATATCTAGGGCAAAATCCCACAGTGGGTATATTAGATGGCTGATAGAAATCCTGACGTTTATAACTCATTATTCAAACCAAGGCAGCTGCAGGTTGAATTTGGTCTTTTTCAGAATATGACTGTTCAGATTTCATTCTAACATTGGGGCGATTACTGCAGAATATACAACATGCTGGGTTTAGAACAACATGGGTGATATGGATTACTCCTGAATATAATATTAATTATTGTCTCAGGAGATATCTGACATGCCAGTGGAGAAAATGACACTATAAATGAGCTGTCTCCCCCCTACTCTGAGACAGGACAGTGCTCCCTCTCTCTGAAGGCTGCAATTTATACAGTACTAGGAGCACTGTGCCTCCTGTGACAATATCTGCCAGACTATTCTAGGAAGTGGTGAATCAGTACGTCTGGCTTTACAAATTGTTAGGATTAACATTACTGCTCAGCCTGCACTACTAACTGACATATAAAAGTATATCCTCTGTAAGTAGGCAGACTATTTCTTCATCTGGGGAAGAATTTTCAAATAGTAAAATATTTAAATGAAAATGGAAATTTGAATTGCTGGATAACAAAAGCACAATGTATTTACTCAGTAGTTTGTAAAACAATTCCTCAGAAACAAACCATGTCCATCATTAAGGTGTTGATTCACTTCAGGTAACCTCCAACATGAAAACAAACAAGACCAGCAGCTCATACAAGAATGTGCTAAAATACTTAATGCAGGGTAGTTGTGTAAATCTGAAAAGTTTATGAATTAAAGAAGGCTAGGACAAGTGTCTTTCAGTCTTCCATCCTTTAGCCTATATTTGTATTGAAAACACGTTTTCTTTTACTGAATAAAAACTTCATAATGTTCTGTGAAAGTGAATTGGAAGAGAATATTTTTCAAGATCTTTTGAAAGGTCAAAGAAACGCAGGCACACACAGCATTCACACTGAACTAAAACTATTACCATTAATCTGGAATTTCAATATATAATTAACATCTGCACTTTTCAGCAGACTACTTTTCTACGTAATAACACAAGCTGCAAAGCCTTCTTTCATATGTTTTCCACAAATAAACACTATTTAAGTAGGAAAAATAAACTTACTTCCACATGCTCTGCCCTAGCGATCTTCAATCAAACGTTCTCCTCTTTTAGAGCAAGAGAAGAAGCAAATTCTAGCCATGCTGTTTCCCCAGAACTGCCAGTCCCATAGAATTCTCAAGTGAAAGACCAGAATCTTCGGTTGAGTATCCCCTCACAGGACTCAACCCAAAGGCAAATCACAGCCTACAGATAACTTTGGAAGTGTTTGAAGGATTTTGCACTGGAAATTTGATTGTCCCTTCCAAAAAGAAATTTTCTCTATTTCTTTTTTTTTTTTTCTTTACACTGTAAAAACCCAAAAGTTACCATAGTTTTGTTTAAAGATATCTTACTCTGCCATGAAGTTTCTCATTCAGTTTTGGCTCTCTGTGTTCAGTTTTCTTCACTTTCAGCCACTGTACCAAAGGTTTGATAGTCAAACCCTGAGGATTGAGACATGATAATAAATAGTTAGGAATTATCCTACACTTTCCTCCAGCTGGTCATTACGAAAGAAAAATAGTGCATTTGTATATGTTATATGGTGATTCTCATACTTCCTCAGTTATCTCTGTCCCCTTTATAAGATAAAATAATGCAGTACCCTCAATTCCTGTTAAAAAGGTTTGACAAGACACAAAACAATAGAAAAACAGACCTTCTAAAAGAAAAACATGGTAGTAGAAGGGTTCAAGTGTTTCCTGCATCACTGAATGTGGTATTTTCTGCATGTGTTAGGAGTTTGTGACCACAATTAAACTTTCTATAATAAATTTGAGAAAAAATCCCAAGCTGGTATATACTGACATGTCTCCATTTAATGTTGTGCTATTCATATAGAAAGTGCTATTTTGTTTGGATGCTAAATTCTTTCTTGTCCCACTGCTTAATATTATATGTTTAAACAAGGACTTAGGCTCAGGTAGATCAACTTAATGACTGTATTTGCCCATGAAAAGGACTGTTCCCTATACTTATTCACATGAGGTGAAGGGTGTTTAATCAGCTACTAACTTGAGCACTATTAATTCCAAGCAGCTAAGACTGAACATTTTTTAGCACAGAGGAAATTGTGTTTTGTCCCTTGTGGTGCCATATGAAAACATAAAATGGGATCTTTGTTACTAAAATTACAAATTCAATTATGCTTTCAGTTCAGTGAAACAATATGCAACCTTCAGCTGAGAACTGCTTTGAGCATTCGATACTTTTGTGGGACTCCTTCTCCTTGCAAGAAGCATGCTTAAGAAGTTGAATTACCTGGAAAATAACAGTAAAAAACACAACAATGATAGTTGTGCTGACAAACAGGTTTTTCTCTTGCACTTTGTTGACATCCAGAAGTACAACCAGAGCAAAAGCAACCGCTCCACGTAGTCCACCATATGACATCACCACCTGGTCTATTATCTCCAACTGGACCATTCTGTAGTGGTTAAGAATCCATGTCTGTAAAACTACACCTATAAAACACAAACGCCAGCATGTCTAGAAATACCCTTATGAAATGTCAGTATCCCAACCCTGTATAACAGGAACGGTATAAGGCCAGTCTGCTTTCATAACAAATTCTCTGACCATCTACTTCTCCGCCTGTATTGCTACACTGCCGAGGACGGCAGGCCCACTTGGTACCTTCCCATGTATCTTTAGCCAGAGGAATTAGCTGAAGCTCTTCAAGCCAGCAGCTCTTCTGAGGGTCCTACCCTCTGGCATAGGCACTGCAGGTCAAACTTTGCGATGTGCTGACCTTTGAAATTCACAGTTGAGAAAGAATAGAATTTTTAGCACCAGCGTCAGTGAGATGCACAGGGCCTTTTAACAGAAAGAGAGAAAGGTTGAAACTGTTGATTCAGGGACTGTGGTACTCTGCAGATCACTAAAAATGACGGATATGTCATTATCTTCTGGAGAGTTGTGCAGTTATGCTAACACTGTCTTCAGGCCTACAGGTGAGATACTGCCTGCTGTAGGACACCTAAAGCTCTAGAAATTACATCTCCCACCACAGGGAAGGAAAACAGCTTCACCACTCCCGAGAGGGGCACACACGCGTGTCCCACTACAGAGGGCCAGGACTGTTAACCAGCACCACCACAGGGAAGGAAAACAGCTTCACCACTCCCAAGAGAGGCACACACGCGTGTCCCACTACAGAGGGACTGCTAACCAGCACAAAAGAGATCTTTCTCTTTTTAGAGAACTTTGAACTTGTGCTAAGTGTCCTGTGTGTATCACTAAGCAAAGCCTCTGGTATAGGAGACCTTGAAAATTAATTCATGCCACCAATCTGACTTTTCCAAGGGTATGAGAGCTGCAATTACGTAAGGCCCAATATCCTCAGGTCTTTAGTAATTTATCAATGTCTAAGCTCAATTACTTTAAAGAATGCATGTTGTTATTGCTGAATATTTACTATTTAATTATTGATGACACTTATTACAGGATGGTTAGCCACTCATTCCAGGAATACAAGTGACAAAGTCAAGTTACAGAAAACTTGTTTAAATGGCTACGGGGAGGTGGCTAAACCCAGGAATACAAGTGACAAAGTCAAGATACAGAAAATTTGTTTAAACAGCACATCAGCGGCTACTGGGAGGTGGCTAAATGAACAATGGTTACAGACTGTTTAGAAAGCAGGACATGGGGCTAGGCCCTTCATTCAGCCCAGGGATCTCTAGACAAAATAAGAATTCAGAGTCTAGGAAAACTGCATGGGGCTAGGCCCTTCATTCAGCCCTGGGATCTCTAGGTCTCTAGACAAAATAACAATACAGAGTCTAGGAAAACTGTGAGCTAGGTAGATGTGTTACCTTTCATTTGAATTTAATTCAAGACAAAGAGGCAAATTAACCCATTTGATTTATTCCCAGATGTAAGTACATACACCAAATCATTATGTTTATTAGGCTATTAGAAGTACTTCATTCTATGCCTTTTTTGCGACTTCAGCCCCTTTGCTAATTCACAAAGCCTTGACTAAATAGTAGAACTAAATCACTGGGCAAATTGTCATTGGTATTTTGAAATGTTTGCAAACTCATATATGCCTAGTAAATTGACAGTAGGTAATCCCTTCCTGTCACAGTCTTATTTACTCAGTTTTTCACCAGTTCCTGAGAATTATTTCTTACGACAGAGAACCTGTGCTATAGTTATGTATGGTCTTACATCACTCTGTGTCTCAAACCTGAAGTCAAACATAAAATTAGCTTTAAAAAATCTCTTTATTACCAAATTGAAAGAGCTGAAGGAAAGAGATGGCTGACAGGACTCAAGTCTTGTTAGGCTGCAAGTTAAAGAACAAAGTCCATTTCACTGGGACGTTTTGCCAATACCATGTGCTAGGTCAACAAAGTTTAGACACTGGGTGATTCATGTTAACCACCAGGCTAGGTATATCCGCACACATCAGAAGTGAAAGCCTACTATGTTTTCAGCATATGATGAAGCTTACTGTAGAGATCTACCCTCCAAATCCAAACCCAGCCATAAATTCAGCCAAAAGAAATGGAATATTTTAAAAGGAACAAGTCTAGAACTCCAAATAATTTCTTCTTCTTTTTTTTTTTTTTGGTAAAAGAATATGTGATTACATCAACAATACAATGCAAGGACAGGAAGAAGATTGTCCCCTTACCAATAACTCTGTATACTGAAATGAAGACCAGAGTCAAGAGAATAAAAGCTGTATTCCAAGTCCAGATGTCTGGATTTACAGCTGAAATTCCCAGGAACATGAAGATAATAGTTTCTGCTCCACTGGCCATCATTTTCATGGTATATCTTACAGTTGTAGAAGATTGTTCAGATATGTTAGCCTTGACATATTTCTGACAGCAGATGCCACAGAAAGTTATTCTGGGAAAAAAAAAAAAAAAGAACCACCAAATGGTCAGAAAATATTTATTGTAACATTTAATATTATTTCCAGCTGTCTGACACAGTGTTAAAAAAATACCATTAATTCATAAGAAAAAATACACTCAGGAGCCATTGTGGAGTCTAATCTAGGTAGAAAGCATATCTCAAACATTCATCCTGAGGTGATCCAAGTGGTCTGAACAGGACAGAGTCAAGACTATATTTTGCAAAGGAAGTTCTCATGTTGCATAGCAGATACTGAAAAACTTGCTTTCCTTTTCAAGGCTGAATGGCGGTATTTGCAAACTATAAACTACTGCAATGTAAGGATAGTAATATTCAGCATAAGCTTCATGAGTGTCATATTCTATAGCTGTCCTATAAAATTTAGGTATTCCTTTTCAATGTTTTTAAAAACCATATTCCCTTCTCAGCCTCTTCCCAGGTAGTAATAAAAAGAGACTTACGCAAGGATAGCAGAAAGAGAAAGCATCTCTGCTGTGAGGTAGGACAGGTAGGAAATGATAAACACAAATCCAGGTTCAATGATTCTCACGTGCTTGGTGAAACGAGAAACGACTGACCTGAATGCAAAGAAAATGCCGACCAGTGTCCCACCTAAGCTCACCACAAAGAATGACACTGAAAAACAAAACCAAACACAGCTTAAACAGTAGAAATATAATGGTTTGAACTAGTTCTCTTCAATTATGTGGCTAGCAAATCTGAGAAAATTTTGGAGGACATCAAAAATTATTTCTGAAGTGCAACAACATGAATTGCTTTGGAGCACTTCGTATGTAAACGCAACATTCTGTAGAAAAAAACAAAAAGGTTGCTTTCTGTGAAGCTTCACCATTTCAGGCTTATAATGCCGACCAGTGTCCCACCTAAGCTCACCACAAAGAATGACACTGAAAAACAAAACCAAACACAGCTTAAACAGTAGAAATATAATGGTTTGAACTAGTTCTCTTCAATTATGTGGCTAGCAAATCTGAGAAAATTTTGGAGGACATATCAAAAATTATTTCTGAAGTGCAACAACATGAATTGCTTTGGAGCACTTCGTATGTAAACGCAACATTCTGTAGAAAAAAACAAAAAGGTTGCTTTCTGTGAAGCTTCACCATTTCAGGCTTATTCAAAACCCACTTAATTTTTCTGAACAATTTTTTCCCCACATTCTGTAAACAAACTCTTTTCCAGAAGCATATTATAGAATATGTCAAATTCACTGTTAAAACATTGATTCATAAGATAATGTAGTATCATTTCATGCTTAGAATGAGAAACAGTGACTACATTTTTAGGTAAATAACATTTCTTGATAGTCACTGGCAAATGTTACTTGATGGCGATTGGTGATAAAGAATGAGATTGCTCATATGCAACCTCAACTTTCCTGGAATGCAGGGAGAGCATAGGCTGAAACTAAGAACATGTTATAAAATACCAAGAAAATATGTAGAGCTATCAAGTGTCATGGTCTTAACAACTGAACTCCACATCTGTTGACTCTCCTCAGAAGAAGACAAATCTGATTAAGTTTCCCAAATACTCAAGAATATTCACTTATTTATTTTCTTAAGACATTCATCTGTGCCACAGGAGTGTGGGAGTATAAGTGATGAGGGAAAGGGCTGAAAAATAAGTTACTGATAGCATAATAACAATATTTTTTTTAGAAGTTGTCATATGTACATTAATGACGTCATACGGAATTCAATTCTACGCACCTATGCCTTTGACACATTCAATCCCCGTCACATTCTCTGGACCTATTGTAACAAAAGTTTCAAACACATTGTACAGCACCTGAAAAGAAAAGTAGACTAACTTAATATTTGCTCCTGAATTAAGCCTATTAAAACAACCACATTATGGGCCCCAACATTATGAATTCTGAAATGATGTATGACTGAGGGAAATTCTGTGTGGAGAGAGATTTTGCAGAGTTTTTTAATTTTTCAAAATGAAAAAATTGCAGTGAAGCAAGAAGAAACAAAAATTTTGGAAAAAACCCCAACATTCTATTTCTCATTTCAATAGGATTTATATCTACAAGACACATTGTTACATCTACACGTGTTTTTTAAACTACTTCTCACTCTAAAATCCAGGTGTTTGGCAGATTTATTAAATCGCCTGTATAAGATAAATAAGATACTTAATAAGATGCTGGATTGAAATAGGTTGAACATACATATAATAAGTTGAACATAAAAGAGAATAAACTATAATAATTGTACTGAAAGTGCTGAAAGACTTCATCTTCTTCCTACCCCTGCCTAAGGAGGTTTGTACAAGCATAATTTTTGACACATGCCTGTCTAATCTATTTTTAATTCCTCCAGTGATGGAGAAGTATGGATTTATCAGCTTTCCCTGTTGCAGCTAAGCTTGTTAATTCTTACCATAGTTACCCCAGTCACAGCATACAGGTTACTTTGTTCTCTAACAGTTGTCTTTTACATATTTACATTTAAAGAATGCTACATCACCCACTTTGTTCTGTCCTCGTCTTTCCATTTTCAAGGTAAGAACTCCAGTTGTTTCAAACTTTCTCACAGGCTGTGCATTCTGACTCTTGATCATGCTTACTCTGCTCTTCTGGATTTATTTCAACAAAAAATCAAACTTTCATTTGTAGAGTGAGTATTTGTGTTCATTCCACAGTAACAAAAACTCCTTTCCTTGTGAAAGCCAGTGATGTTGATACTTGAGTTCATCAAGGGTTTATTTTAACATTTGTTTCTGGTAATATCCCGCAGATACTAATGAGACTGATATATAAAGGCAATTAGGTTTCTCTGGAGGCCCTAAATGTAATTTTCAAACTCATGTGAACAGTTAGGCTGCTGCCAGTGACCTTGCAGTGCCTTGCTCCCTTGATTGCAAAATATTAAGTCGCTGAGCCTGGTGGACATATCTTACCCTCCTTTGGAGATATTCAGGAGCCCAGACAGGAGATGCTCCAAAAAGAAAACTGAAGGTCTATAGCAACTCAGTTGCATAGCATCTTTCTGCCATAGGACTTCCTGGTCCCTGTCCACTAGCACTGTGCTACAAAACTACTGACCGTTTTATCCTGAGCAAAATTTTGTGTGAAAAGAAAAGCGGTTCTTATTTTGATTGAAACATCAGTAGAAACTTGGGATTGTTTTAAGTCTATTAAAGTCGATTAAATTTTCCTTTTCTTTCTAAATGAAAAAAAAAAAACAAAACAAAACAAAAAAAAAACACCCAACCACCAGAAATTAACGTTACCAAAAAAAAAAAAAAGCCAACCAAAAAAACCCCCACCAAAACCCAAACCAGAAACTTTCTAAAACATCCCACAATTTTTAACAAATTGACTCTTTGTCGGATATCTCTTTGATCATCTGATTGAAGAAAAAGAGAGGGAACATGCAAAGGCACTTTGGTGAGTATTCTCTCTCTCACTGTCTATATATCTGAGTTATACATATATATTACAGCCAAAATGCAATATGCAGAAAAGAATACATGCATTAAGGACAACAGCAAAGAAAGGCTTAAAATCTCTGGAGCTAATCTCAGTAAGTCATGAAAACCCCACTTGAACAGCAAAGGCAAACAGCTGAAACTTCACTCAAAAGGTTTTTATGTTCATTCAACTCAGGACCATGTATTTTTATGTGACTTATGAGCTCCAAATATGCTCAATCATTTAGTCTTTTCAATGCAGTGAAAGCGAAACAGAACACTATGAGCTACACTACATTAGCCCATGAGTAGATACACACAGTTGAAACAGTATTTTATTTAAGAGGAAAATACATTTCGGAAGAAACCCTCTAGAATTTGGGTGACTTTAGGATATATAATTTACTTACCACAGTCACAGCATCATTCAGAAGTGATTCTCCAAAAACAATGATGAATAACACTTCATTGACATGGACTTCTTCGAACACTGCCAGAACAGCTACAGGATCCACAGCGGCAATTAAGCTGCCAAACAGCAGGAAGTCCAGCAGTCCGATATTCAGACGGCCTTCAAAAACAAAGCAAAGTATAAACAGAGTCAACTCTGTATTAGCAATAGTGATGACAGACCGTGAAATTACAGATAATGCAAAATCCTTCAAAACAGGGATTCTAAGGCATCAACTGGAAAGCATGACACAGAAAATACTTAAGTTCCACATTGTATCCTACAAGGTTTGTGGGATCCAGCATTGGCCCATGTGGATCAAAGTTGATTCTGGAAGCAGTGGTGTCGTGTTCTTATGGGAAGACACTTGACATAAGTATTTCCAGATACAAACTGGCTTTGTATTTGCGGTTTATCTAACTTGAGTAAATTATCTAAGGATAACTAAGAACTGACAAGATGGTAAGAGGAATATACCACTACTCCTGAAGTAAACATTCCAAAACACTTCATGCCACAGGCCAAATTTGACTCTTGGTTGCTAAGAACCGCTACAGCGGGGCTTAACTGCACTCAGTTACTCAAGTAGATATTTACTGATTGGTGCAGTTAAATCACTTCTTCCCAAATTATGAGTAATGAAGCCATAAATATAGATGAAGGACTAAAATGTACCTCAATAAGTCTATATTGTACCCCCTTAGGAATTTTGGGAATGTTTTCAACAGTTTAGGAACTACAAAACTCAGTAACAAAATAACCCAGTATTTAATTAATTTTTTAAATCTTCATTGAGATTTAGGATTTTGTTCAATTAAGAAAAATAATTGAGACAAGCATCACTATAATTTTAAAAGTAACAGAAAAAGGAGAGCCACAAAGATAACTTCATTCAACTTCCTAAATAGCTTGCAAAATTTACGCTTTCCATGCAATCAAGAGTGGTATCCCGGTTATTTTTTTCTGGGAAACAGATTTTTGAAGGGGCAGAGAACAGAAAAGTTCTCTCTGTGTTCCTTAATGGATGGAGGAGGAAGCAAGGTTCATTAAAAGGTGATGAAGCCCAAAATTATATGAGGAAGAACAAAGAAGGAATATGTTGAGAGTTCATTCATTAAATCACAATGAAGAGGTCCATGCCCAAAATTAATAAGCAGTTTTATCAGGCATGATTTCTACAGGTGAGGGAGAAATCTGTCTGATTAAATTATATGGAAGCCTGAGTCAGAAAATGACAGTCAGTAGCCGTAGCCAAAGAATTAATGTTGAATGTAAGGTACTTCCAGAACAACATGGCCACTCTTCTAGCAAGAACTCTTACAAGACAGTTTTTCAAATCTACAATGTTTAGTGCTTGGAAGATAACTCAAACAGAAACTAGATTTCAAATATTTTTGATACAAAATGGCATGGGCATATGTAGTCAAGCAAAGGACACTTACATGGGCAGCCAGAGACAGGAGTAGACAACACCCTGTTGTATGTGACAATGGTCAATAATCTGGAGGAGCTGCAGAAGTACATGTACTCTTGGCTGCTGCCTGCCATTCAGAGCATCTACAAGGTGTTCCCATAAAGTTTATAGGGACCTTTGTAAGGCCCTGAAAACAGAAATCCATAGTTTGCACAGACATGTAGCTACTTCATAGCTTCAAAACAGAAAGAACCACTATGTCACTCTTGGACATATTGGGCTGTGAATGAGGACTGAATCTATCAATTTTAGTGTGAGAGAGGGGTTGAAGCAGTGAGCTGAAGTTTGTGCCAAAAATTCCGAGAACAGCCTTGAACCTGAATCTAAGTAATGGTTCCATCAAACGTTGTCCTTCTCTGACATGCTTAAGGAAGGAACAAGCCCGATGACAGTAACTATCAGATACCAGGATACAATAAAATGTAAGCTTTTAAAATAAATTGGCTCACTGAGATTGCTTATCTTTTTTTATATGTTACCAATTATAATCATTGGTACATTCTTTGAAGACTTGGAAAGGTAGTGAGCAAATATTTATGGAAAGGTTAGGACACATCTATAATTTTTACAAAGCAGTGTCAAGAGGCATGGGGTTTCTAAATCAGATTTTTAGTTAGACTAATAATGGAAGTTATTTCCAAGTGATACATGACCATTGCTTCCTTCAGCTCACCAGTGTCTGAGGTGACTAGCTGCCAGCAGAGACATCTGAGCAAAGTTCGTTCACTGGGCCCAGTTCAAGACTTCTAAACATACTCAGCGTGTTGGCTCTATGACCTAGGTTGTACAGGAAAAACTTGTCTAAGCATGAGTTGCAACCACAAGTATTCCAGAGGGAAGTGCTGCATGAGTTACTTCTCCAGAAGATGGTGAACAGTTAGGTGTAATCAACCAGGAAGGCTTAGGAATACATCCTTCTTCCTATTCGGTGAAAGCAGACTGGTATGACTGTTAGTTAACAGTTAAAGTGCTGATCTCAGAATTTCACTTCTAAAGAAGGATTGCTTTGTTATTTTTGCTTTCTCTCTTTCTTTTCTCCAAATTATAATATCTATTAGGATATTGAAGGCAAACAAAGAGCTGCTTTTAGGTTTATTTATGTAGAAAATCTATGTAATCCAATTTGGATTGCACTGTCATATTGGTGGACACTACTACAGGCCCATTCAATGGTAAAGTTGGAAGTAATTTGGTTTTAGTTCATCTTTGGATATACATTCCAAAGGTATGTTTGTATTGGATATACATTCCTACATTTTAATCAGATTACTTTTAGCAGTATTCCCTCCAATTGTAGAAAAAGTGTGGTAGAAATAAAAATATGCCATAGAACTTCAACCAGGGGCTGCTATGAACTCTTCCAGAAATTTAGCAACTCATCATTCTCCTATCTTCAGCATTCAGCAAAGCTTTTCACGAGGAGTGGTCCTCAGATCTTGCTGACATCTTGGAGGTCAACACAATGTATTTAGTGGATTAGTAAGTATGCGTCATGTAGATATTTTAAAGTCCTACTTATCTTTGCTGGAGAATGACATAGTTTGAATCAGGGGCAGGCTTCTCTGGGCTTTTCCATAGCTGAAATTAGATCTCTTGTAGGTTATAATATGTCTTGGTGGTAAAGACTGATCCCCACAGTATATCAATTAGCACTCATTTTGAACATTTACATTCACCAGGCTTGTCAGTTTATTGTTTGCCTTTGTTGACATCCCTATTTTTAGCTTGTAGAGCTTTAGCTGTGACCTGTGGGGTAGATATTTCGTTAACTCCAAGTTAACTCCAAGTTCGGAGTTCTAGTGTATATTTTCACTGATGAAGCAGAACATGCAGCCATCAAATCCAGCTTTTACAGTTAGTTGAGAGTTGTTTACAGATTGGGAGGAGGGCAAGAGATAAATGAATTTTTCATTTCAAATAGAATTTTTGGGACAACACTTGACTTTTCCCTTTCTCGTGTCATAAAGAGGTCAGTGCTTTTCCTTTAACGATTTTTATCAACATATTTTAAAATTAATTATAATTCATTATATCTCCCATAACAGGATGTTAATAAAATATTTTGGGTCAGATTTTTTTAACTTGTTCCAAACAGCTTGAGTATTTAAATTAAAAAAAAATCCTTGTCCAATCTGTTGCAATATCAATGTCCCTTTTTCATCTTTTTTGTTTGTGAAAACCTGTATTTAACTGTTAGTGTGAAGTTGTGGATGCAATATATTGTGCCTACAGGCTGAAAGCACATAAAACATCTACCCTACCTATAAAAGTCAATAGTGTCTGCGTCTGAGCTGTCACCTTTGTATCTTCTAAAGAAAAATTGTTGCTTATAAAATGTGAGTTATAGCAAGGTAAATATCTAAAATGTAAGCTAAATCTATCATAGATGTCTGTAGTACAAACACCTGCCGTTACGTAAGATGAATCTCATATGAACGAGTCTGTGGTCTAGTTCTTATAGACTGGGATTTTCAAATAAGGACAACAGAGCTTTCCTCTAAAATTAATGGAACACATGTCCCAGTCTTATGCTCAAAGAGCCCAGCCTCAAATTCTGCTACTTCCCTGTGCCGGACAATGGGAGCAGTTTTTTAGGCTGGAAAACTCTACACTATTACCTTCTGTAATAATCAGCTAATAGCTCAGTTCTTCATCACAAAAATGTTCTCGGCAGCATCTGCAACACCTGACATTTGAGGCACTCTCTTTATCTGGACTGAAAGGGAAGTCTGTGGTAAATTGCTCCGAGTCGACTTTGCACCACTGTGGTTAGAGAACAGTCCCAGGACGAGCTGTTGAGCCTTTCGTACAACACAACACACTCCCTGCACTCTTGGAGCCACTCACTCCAGGATCTGATCGCTGGTTGCCAGGAACCGGTGGGGCACAGCAGCACACTGTCTACGCTGCTCTCAGCAACGCTCAGGTCTGCCCTGTAAGTACTTGCTAGAACTCACCAACCTAAGAGAACTTTGTCCGAGAAGGGGTCTTGAGCTTTTTCAGTACAGACACTGAAAAACCATAGCTAAGATGCCTGTTTCAAAACGCATGCAATCCACCTATGACGCGAATTGCTGTTCTTCAGGTGGCAGTACATAGCCTGTGTGCATGCACACCCCCCGGGGAGATTAAGAATTGCCTCTGCCAGCAGCCCCATGCCCTTATATTGTAGTATAATTAAGACAGAGTGCATCTTACATGGGCTACTCGGACCTGTATGTCTTCAGTTACAATTTCCAGGCTCAGAAGAAAACAGAGAGATGCAGTTACAATTTCCAGGCTCAGAAGACAACATAGAGATGTCATACATACATACCCACTCAGCAGCCATTGATCACTTAATATTAAAGCTGACTGAAGGAAGACAGTTGCATTTCACAGTAATTTTGAAGGTTTCTATCACAGCAGAAAGAAGTGTACAGCCTGTCAGCATGCATTTTTGTTCTGAAGCCCATTAGCAAGATGAATCCTGAGCTTTATCCTGAGAGCGTACACACACATTTAAAGCAGGGAAATGAGAGAGACAGATTCAAGTCCCCTTTGTGCTTGCTTCAGAGAAAAATTCTTTGAAATTGAGTAAAAATATTACAAATTGCTCCCACTAAAATTGGATTTTTCTGCTGAGAAGAGTAGTTAAGTTGTAAAATATCACTATATCTAACAGCTGGCATACAGTAGCATTCACAATTGTGTCTTTGCAGATCAAACTTACCCATTATTCCTGTCAGATAGACACCGTAGAGAGATAGACCAGTTGTGGCAGCATTCCAGACTGTCCCAATGACAGCATACAGAAGGATGGTACCAAGATTTCCAAAGAACAATCTATTTGGCATAAAATATCCAGCATCCAAAACAATGGGGGGCAGCAGATAGAAGAAAAACACAGTTGGTGTAAGGGTGAAGGAGGCAATGTGATCTGCTGCCCATACAATGCCACCAAGGAAGAGACCAAGAACAATCAGCAGAGCACTCTCTGGAACCACCCGAGTGACTTTGTGGGACAAGTGGAAAACTGCAAGGAAAGAGGAAAACAGTTTGTCAGAATTGGAATGGAGAAACCATTTGGGCAACAATTGTTGTTAGCTGGAAATTTTGACCACAAAAACTTCCCGCTTTCATTGTTATTAGACCCAAAAGCATGCATGGAATGAATGGGATACAGACAGTGCCAGAACCCAGCCATTAAAATAAAATATAGTTGATTTTCAGATTCTATCCATCAAATTTCAACTTTTATGAAAACAATATTTCAATACATTTATTTCCTTTATTGGGTTATCTTCTCCACACAAGGCCTGTTTAGGGAAAGGTGATGTTCTGTGCAAAGCAGTAAGTGCAAGACTGAAAATAAATGGTAGAAGTGCTGGAAATGTATGACTTTATGGTTTATTTCTGTACCTAAAAATACACATCTGGCCACCCAACATTTGTCTTTAAAAATGATCAGTGTACTAGAAGGTTAATTGGAGGATGGGAGAAGAATACTGAAAGAAGAACTAATTTCAAGACATATCTTTTTAAATTTATGGAGAATGTAATAAAACAATGTAGCCTGCAGCAGGAGCAGAATGGAGCTGGTATCACGGGCAATCCCTGTTGGGCCCTTTCATCAAAATCTCCCTAGTAAGGACTTCAGTTAATTCAGAGGTTTTCTGGAAGAACGAGGGCTTTAGTGGTGCCTTCTTCATATACAAATATACTTGTGGGAAATGGTTCTGCAACAGGCTATCTTCTTTTACATAAACAGTGTCATCAAATACTGTAAATTACAGTAATATGTCAAATCTATTAAAGATGAACAGTATATGTTATCTATTATAGAAAAACATGTAATAATATGGTAAGACTATGAAACTAGCCAATAATTAAATGAGTGAATCTAGAGACAGAAAGATGGCAAGGCCAAGACAGAAAAAATAAACTCTTCAAGATGACAGAAACACAAGTAAGACTGCAAAGATATGTAGCAACACATATTTATAGTGCACTTGTTAGGTATCAAATAGCAGGGGGAAAAAAATCCCAACCCAAAACCAACAGAGAAAAACAGAGAGAAGTCAAGTCTACAAAGAAAGATGGAACATGAAAAAGGGGCAGGTGGGAAAGGTGTTTGATAATAAGGAAGCACAGGTGTGCTAACCGACTTTCTTGGGATTTCTGTTAGCATTTCCTTCAGTTTATTTTAAATATCGATGTGGCACTGATGGTCTGAACTCTGGCTCTTTATGATACTGTCCCAATTAATGGGATTATAGTTATATAGCTTTGTGTTGAAAATGCGAGTCTCACTTTAGGAAGAAAATTCCACTAAAAGCCGCTGAGTTTTTCCTGGTTTGAGCATCAGCCTAGAACTGTGTTGAAGTTTTTAAAATGCTAATGCAAATTAGCTCAAAACTAGTCTGGACAAGGTACCATTACTAGGAATTTCATTTTTTTTAAGGTATAATGGAAGAATCTTTCCCATGACTATGCAGAGATCTCGGACCAGGTTACTTTGCTGAAAAACCATTGTTTTTCCTCCCAGCCAAGTATTTGTCCTAGTCAAACATTTACTAGTTACCCTTTAGAGTGTTTTAAGGGCCCCATTGCTGAACTCTGTCTTCTTCTTGGCTGCATCTACACAGGCAATGTTAGAAACCTCACCCATCATTATAGCAGCCCCACAAGATGTTTCCTACTGGTTGTATAACCTCCACGGCCTCAGCAGAGTAGAAAACACAAAAGTAAGAATGTCAACAGCCTTCTTACAACAGTGAGCATGAATGCAGAGGTTCCTAAGTGTGGACAAGTCTTGAAAACTAAGCCATGTTAGAACGTAACTTCAAAGTAGAATTAATACAACAGCAATCAGACATGAAGGCAAACTGTATTCAGTGAAGTTATCTAAACCATGCTGGTTTTCTATATCATCTGTGTCATGTAATTAATAGCTAAATAACACTTTGCAGAAACAAACACTGTGGCTTCCTCTCTTTATTATAAAATTCCTTGGACTTGCTTAAAAATCAGAAAAAAATAGATAAAGAAAAACAAACTAGCTACTATTCCATGTGCATAAATTGTAGCATTTAACTTCTCAGAAGACTTTCCTACTGGTCATTCTTGATTCCTTGAATTTCCAGTCAGTGAATTATCAACTAATTTATCACCTCACAGAGTAGGGATTATCTCCTTATCCCTGAAAATGAATGTTGCTGAGCTAGTCTTACTAACCCAAGTCTGTTTTTTCTACTCTTATGTTTGCAGATAAGTCATGACTACAAAAAGTTAAAGTTAAAAATTTAAAATAAACCTATGAAGACCTTTCAGAACTAGACATTGGGGGAAAAAAACCCAAAACAACAAAAACAAAAACCCCACCAAAACAAAGTCCGGCTGAAAATTCATATTCTGTAGAATTCTCACCTTTACAACCATAACCAGTTTCACTCAGCGAGTGCTGAGAAGCCAACCTAATTTTGGTTATAACACTGCCTCCTCCCAGAAGCTGCATGTTCCCAGCTGCATCGTATCTGTCTGTGTTCCCTTTAACTCCCATCAGCTGATTATCTCTACCATATTTTAATGCTATCAGCAATAAATTCTTCTACTCTGTTAGTTTAGGAATGCAGGCTGTGGACAGGAAAGTTATTGCATGAAATGGGGCTCTAGCGAAGTCTCTTCTCTTTTTTTTTTGCATTTGGCCCCAACAAAATCTGAAAACTAGACTATATTTTTTTTAAGGTAACCGCCTAGCTAACCCTGCAGGCAGATGTCTGGTGTCTATAACCATAGAAATATGTAAAAGAAAAATAAACAACACATGCTATTTAATGAAATAATTTTAGAATAAGATGTAATTGGAACTTAGATTGATGTCTGAGTTCATATTTGCACTTACATTGATTGATTTTTTTTTTTCTGGCTATGTGCATAAAATATATTCAATCATGTGCATTGTATTATTAGAATTATGACAATTGATAGAGATAGATTTTTTCCAAATTCATTCTTCAATGTTTCTTAACAATTCATTGTACTGAAGTTACGTTCCTCACACATTCTGAGTGTATTACAAACTGACATAATGACAGTATATTGATTTAATAAAATTTGCCTTTACTTGCTTAGGAGAGATCCAGAAACAATACCAGAAAAGGAATTATGTCCCTATGACAAAGTAGAAGAATAGAAAGCTTGAATTACATCTAAATAGTTAGTATGAGCAGGTATTTCACCTGACTGAGGAGTACAATCTAGCAATAATGGACAAGAAGATTGATTCTGTTGTGAAATAAATTATAAATATCAGGAATGACAGAATGCAGTGCTGCTCAGTTAAATTATTTGTGAGTGACCCAGATGTGAAATTGGGTCTATTTTCACTGCTATTAAAAAGGAAAAGAACTTTAATATATTTTAGTTTTTTTTAAATAAAAATTGTAGCCAGTCCATGGCATAAAAGAAATAACATTGGACAGGGCAACCTTGTGGTCTATAATTTTTAACAGTTATCATTTAGAATTCATCTACATAAGTCTAGGCACAGTGTATTAATGAAAAAGTTAAACATATGCCTTCTATCCAGTACATGCTAATCCTGGCTTGACAGTGGGTTGGGCTGGCTTGTGGATAAATTGTGTTTAAATTCAAGTTGAGCACTGCTGAATTAGTAGCTTTCTACAAAGTTAAGAAACAATTACATAGTATAAACTTCCTGTGAAATTTTTTTCCTAACACTTCCTTTGAGATCCAAGGAAAGGGTCTGTGACATTTTACGTATCCGATGAGAAACACAAAAGAAATTAGCATCCTATGATTTGATGGCTGGAACCAGTTTCCTTTGACTCAAAGAAAGAAATATAATTTAAGTTTTTTTTTATCACCTTTAAAAAACACAGTAACTTAGATTAAAGCCTTCAGTGGAATTCAGCAACTATGTGTTGCTTTCTAAGACCATCTGAGACTGCTGTGAAGAAGTGATTCAACAGAATAAACTTTTTCTCCTTCACGAGATGTAATGAAGACAGAAAGGACTGGTTAAATAGCAAAAATAATAAATAAAATTATAATAAATAAGAGAAAATGTACAATTCATGCTCAAGTTAATATTTGTAGACACTCAAAAATTTTTTTTTGAAGTAGGGTTTTCTCATATTTCTTTCAAAATTATCTCTAACAGTACCTGATTTCTTGCTTATCAAGCAAAACATTTCAATGACTTAATTGTAGAATCTTGTGCTTCATTTCCAGGTGAACTTAACAATTCAAGACAGATTTACCACCTTTTGAAAATAAAACACTGCAAAAATATAAATCTGAAACTACTTATTTAATATACTGTTAAATTTCAGAATCTATACGGTCATTTCAACATTATTTCAACTGCCTAATGACATTTTCATTAACTTTGTTAGTGTAAAATCAAGGCCCTGAAAACAGTGAAATGATTTTTTTCAGATAATATCACTGTCCCAGTCAATCACAAAACTTATTGCATGTGCACAACATGAAACATCTCATCCAGAAAAATCAAGAAGTGACTTATAATAATGCTAGTAAGTCTCTGCTGAAGTTCCTTTTCCATGTATCTTTGGATAAAATCCAAGAAACCACAAAAAAATGTAGATTCTTAAAAGATTTTCAACACCTTTTTTCGACTATAATTTCGATAGTTCCCATAAAAGCACAGATATGAAGTTGCAAACATTTCTCAGCTCCTCCAACCACTGCTAGTGACATGTGTGGCGTCTACCATATGCATTTTTGCTGGTGGTTCAAATGCTATTAGTCTATTTTTAAGTTTTGATTTTTTTTTTTAATTTTTACTTGTAAAGATAACATTATCATATTAAATCAAGACACGAGCCCTTCTACTTTGAGATCCAAGACTTGATTCTCTGTAACTGGTGAGAACCCTTGCCACTGACCAAAGCAAGAGCAATATGCTGCAAACTTTCCTTTATAATTATTTAGATTTTCTTTATAGACATGCAAATCATAGTATCTCCAAGGTTCCTGTAATGGCACAAC